TACCATTTCAAATATTTTTCAGGCACTTAGTCCAAACAGAGCCAGGACTAGTGGATTCATTTCAAATTCATCATCAGATCCACTATTTGTATTTAAATACTCAACTAAACATTCAGGAATTTGGGAGCACCCAAAAAGGAATCTGCAGGAAAGAAGCAATGTGACTTAATGTTAATGAACCCAACTGGTCTCTCAGGATACCGATGCAAGGAGTAAGAAGTTCAGGTTAATACCATCTTACATAACTGGTCACCAGTCCACTGGTCATCAGTCCACTGTCAGGTCTTCAATACCTCTGAAAAGAATGTTTGTGACATGCTAAAGAAGAAAGACTTATTCCTATATTCTATCCATTCTGGCCAACGAACATCCCTGGTTCACGAGTTGGTTTATCATTTATTTGTTTGTTTAGAGACGGGAGTCTCACTGTGTTGTCCATGATGACCTTGAACTCCTGGGCTCAAGCAAGCTTCCCAAGTAGCTGGGACTATATGCACATGCTACCCGCTTGGACTGTGTTTTTTTTTAATGGTAGCTTAACTGAAATGTAATTCACGTACCATAAAATTCACCCTTAAAGTATACAATTTAGTCATTTTTAGTTTATTCACAAAATTGTACAACCTTCACCACTACTAATTTTATAATACTGTTGTCATCCCAAAAAGAAAGCCCACATCCAAGTAGTCACTTCTAATTCCCCCAGCCCCTGGCACCCACTAATTTGCTTTCTGTCTCTATCGATTGGCCTATTCTGGACATTTTGTATATATAAAATCATAATATGTGACCTTTTGTGATGAGCTTTTTTCACTTAGCATAATGTTTTCAAGGTTCGTCCATGTTGTAGCATGAATCAGTACTTCATTACTTTTTATGGCTGAATAATATACTATTTGTAGATATACCACATTTTTTATCCATTCATCAGCTGATGGACATTTGGGTTGTTTTCACAAGATTTTTGACCTGTAGAAATCTTAGTCATCTAATCTGATTGCTCTTTTCATGGATAAAGAAATTGAGAACCAGTGAGAAAATGGAAACTGCCTCTGGTTACACATACTTAAGACACTCAATGCACACCTGAAATGTCTTCTTTCCTCCAAGCTCACCCCTTCCTAGAAAAGAAGAAAATCCTTAATTTGTGTGATCCTAGCAGTAAGATGAAAGATAGGCTGGGTCTAGAAGACCTAGGGTGGAAAGGAAGAGAAAATAAGTAGGATTAGGTATAATCACGTTGAGCCAAAGAAACTTAAGAAAAGACCAACAGTTTTAAGCCTTCAAAAACACATAGAAAAAGAGAAATGAGCAAATGCAGACAAAGATTTTTTCAAAAAATCAGAGGTGGAAAGAAACACCAAAGTATGGCAAAAACCGGAAGAGTTACTCTGAAATACCCTGTGGTCCATTTGAAAATCTCTTTATTATCAGATCTAGAAGAAAATTAACTGAATTAAAGGTCCCAGAGAGATGAAATCAAAATCAAAGCAACCAAGTGACAAGAAATGAGCACAGTAAAGGAAGTGCATCACTCTGCTTTATGCGGGCCAAAAATTACTGTAAGGGCAACTGGAAAATACCCTCTTGAGATCTGATCCTGATGACTTCAATCAGAGATGAAGTCCATTTAAAGAAAGCATTTTGTAATTTAGGAGGCCCCAATCTGCATCTAACTTGTCTACAATAATTTGGGGCTGAATTCAGACTAAACGAATCTTACACACAGTCTCCATTTCACAATCCCCACTTCCTATCACCATTTACAAGCTGAGGAAGCCTGTCTAAGCACCTGGCCTGCTGCTTGACTAAATGGCACAAAATTCGAAACTAGTAAAAGAAATATAAAAAGTCAATTTCTAATCCCTGACCACTCTAAGGATGACAATTTATTTATAAATCCTCTAACATGTATAGTTAACTTTTAGACTCAAAGTGGCAAAGAACATTAAAACCTTCTTCCTATCAACTCCACCAGAGTTCTACCACATTCTTTTTCCTCAACAATAAAAAGGAGCTATATGTGCCTAACACTAGCAAAATGACTACCAAATAGTAAATGATCAATAAGTATTTGATCAATGAAGTTGAAGATAATACCAGATCTTTTAAAAAGCATCCTATCATTCCAAAGAAGTGCCCAACTTAGTCTTCTTCATGTTACCACTAAAGAACATAAGTCCATATCCTTATATTCAAGTCTTTAGCTTATTCAAAAAATAGCAAGATTTGTAAAAGGCAAAAGAGTCTTACAAGGACAGCTAAAAGAGAATCAAGAATACAACATTTC